AATCCCCTCATCCAAATCCTCAACAAACTGACTGAACTGTGACAAGCCCCAAATATAACTTTATTGTCCTTAAAATAAAAGACAATACCAAATTTTTTGCATATTACAGACCTTCTCTAGATTGATTATAATCAATCTGAAGTTTAATTATCTACCTTCTCTAGACTGAATGTTTCCTTTCCTGAAAGGAAAACCATCCTTATCTCTATGTCTAATAAATATAGCAACATTATTTCTTATATTTAAGGCAGGTTAATGGTTGGACTTGATGATCTTAGATCTCCTCCAACCTTCAAGATTCTATGACAACACCTATACAGGACTCTACTAAAATTAAGTGACATCAATACTGTTGTTGTCAAGCACAATAAATTGCTACACTGCCATTTCATCATGTAGTTAAGAGTTAAAAACAGCCACAGTATTTCAGACACAGTTTAATAAGAGCTGAACATGTGAAAATACAGAGATTTATTGCCAAGTGCTTCTAAGCTCATTCTGCCTCCTCCAAAAAGAGAGAGCACAAAGCTTTGCTATTAACAGTTGACTTGAAAACTTATGTGCTGCCTGTACTTCCAGAGAAAAAATCTAAACCACTACCAGTAAAAAAAGCCAAACTTGCAGACTCACGTGGGTGTTCAGACGATAGGACATGAGCTCAAACTCTCCATCAGGAGGGATGAAAGAGATTGTCCTGTCGTTTTCAAAGCGAGAGAGACGAACACACTGGTGAAACTTCACATCTTCCAGTTCTACTGATTTACTCTTCCCACCTGGCAGGAAACACACAGAGGTCAAGGTATGACCCAAATCCCAGCAGAACAAAGCTGCTGCCTACTGACATTCCTCCCTTTTAGGGCTAATTTCCTCATGGAAAGGGTGGCCAGGCATGGGAACAGGTGGAGTCACCATCCCTGGAGGTGTTGCAAACCGTGTGGATGTGGCACATGGGAACACAGTTTGGTGGTTAACAGTTGGACTCAACTTTAGATGCCTTTCCCAACCTTAATAACTCCATGACCACCATGCTCCTCAAGCATGCCAAAACCAAAAGCTCCAGACCACATCTCTCATGATGACCAGGATACCACCCCAATACTCACGGCCTGTGTTATCAAAGAGAACTTTGTCATTCAGTCCCAGGCGCAGCTCTGGCATTCCCGACAGGAAAACTCTCATCTTAATGGATCCAACTATCTCACTCCTTAACACGTTTCCATTGGCACTCACCTGAAAAAAAAAGATGAAGAGAAAGGTAAAATTGCTCTGATGTGGTATGTTGTGACATCCAGCAACACTCCCAACCTGTCCCCATGGTTTTCTTGGATGTCTTTCTCCTTAATCCAGTAAATCAGATCAGGAGGAAAAGACATATCCAAACTTAGCAATAAATAAAAGCAAAGCATATTTGTCTACTTGATGTCCCTAGAGGTGCTCAGTCTTACTGACTGACATTGCTTTTGAGTGTCACAGCACAACAGCCACAATCAGTTTGACTTCTCAGACAACAAACCCTTTCCAACACTTCCTCACTAGAAGTTGAAGTTCAAGCTACTCACCAAAAGGTTAACAGACTCTATGACATCCAGGAACACCTCGTTTTTCCTGTATTTTATCCCTTCTGATCTCCAGGACACAGCGTTTGTTACTGTGGCAGGAGGACGTGGGGCTCCAGTTTCAAGTTTGTGACCTTCCTGAGTGATGTATCTTCACAGCCACAGAGTTGGCATGGAAAAAAAACCAAAGAAAAGTTAATTTTCTGGATAACTAGAACAAGCCAAAAGGTTTGTTTGCCTATGGAAGATGGTTAAGATCTCCCAAAGGCTTTGTCACTGCAAGGGATGCAGAGTGATACTTACTCTTGTAAAATTTTGCTATCAGTGGTTTGTGGATAACCAAAATCCATAAGCTCATCTAACAACTCATAAATAATGACAAAATTATCCCTAATGCTCTCTTCTTCCAACTCCTTGAAATATTCAGAAAAAACCTGGAAGAAAGATGACAGGAGAAGAAGGACATGAAGTGAGGAAGTTCAGCACATGCACAATGTGTTTCTGCATCTAAAAGAATCAGGTGGGAAAGCCCCAAACCAAAACTGATGGATCACAAACAGCACTCTGCTCAGAGCAGCAGCTTCAGCAGACAGAGAATCCTTGAAACAACTCTTAACTACTATGAAAAATATTTATTCTGGAGAAAATATTTTTCACACCAGGTAGAATGAACCAAACAGAGAATCTAGGTGAGGCACCACAGCTCATGCACCAATTCACAACCCTCCTGGGGGTGCTCAGGTCTTGTGCAGTTACTTACAGCACTGTGCCCCATCCTCTGCCTACTCAGCTACAAACTATCAGTGCCTTTAGTAGTGGTTAGGTAGGTCTACAAAATAACCAGATATAAAGTAAGTATCAGAGTTCTTTAAAAAGCTCTTTGCACTTCTATTGAGAGTGAACTGAAAGCAGAAGTTCCTTCTGGAATTTCATACTCACCTGAACTACTTTATACAAAAACGAAAACACCAGTGATACACAAGCATTTTTCTTAGAGGTTGCAACAACTGATAAAGGATGTTCAGGAATGTGTATTCCAAAACAAAAATAGGATTTACTAAGTGCATTTTAAAAAGCCTTTGGGTAATGAAGAGGTGGCCAGGAAAATTAAGAGGTAATTATTTAGTAGTATCTCTGATCTAAGGGGATATGAAGATAAATGCCCAAGAAATGATTTGTTAGAGGAAAATTCAAAGAACTATGGAATGTTAAGGGGTCAGAATGGACATTAGAGATCATCTAGTCCTGGGCAGGGACACCTCCCACCAGAGAAGGTTGCTCAAGGCTTCATCCAACCTGGAATGAACATTGCCAGGGTTGGGGCAGCCACAGCCTCCCTGGGCAACCTGTGCCAGTGTCTCACCACCCTCACAGGGCAAACTTCTGCCTAAGATCTAGCCTAAATTTCCCTCCTTCAACAAATTAATATAAACACTTACTCTATTATTTTATCCAACTTTATTTAACATAACCAACTTTACCTGATAGACCCAACTTTACATAATCTCCTGAAGTCCCTTCACCCACCCACACTGAGAGCAAAACCAGCAGCAGCTCCTGGTAGAGCAGCACAAAGGATACGGTAGAGGTTGTTGTGTTTAATCCACATGAAACGAACTCCTCCGTGTGCTAGGATAGGGGAAAGTGTTCCCTCCTCCTCCTTCTCCATGAGGATGGGCATGAAGTGCTCCACCTCTGACATGTCCACATCTCCACGGTAATTGCGACAGATCAGCACCTGTGGAGAGAACAACAACATCCTCGGGCTCTGCCTTTGTTGGGGCTGATGCTGCCGTGCAAGACAAGCACATAAGGTATTTGAAGAGTCACACAGATCCCTTCGAGCCTCTGTCTGTTCACATCATCACTCTGGAAGACACCTCTGAGCTACGTCCAACCTTTATGTGCTCAGCTCTGGACCCCTCAGCTCAGGAGGGACATTGAGGGGCTGGAGCAGGTCCAGAGAAAAGCAACAAGGCTGGGGAAGGGACTGGAGCACAAGTGCCATGAGGAGAGGCTGAGGGAGCTGGGGGTGTTCAGCCTGGAGAAGAGGAGGCTCAGGGGAGACCTCATCACCCTCTGCAACTCCCTGACAGGAGGTTGGAGTCAGGTGGGGGTTGGTCTCTTCTCCCAGGCAACCAGCAGCAGGACAAGAGGGCACAGACTCAAGCTCTGCCAGGGGAGGGTTAGGTTGGATATTAGGAAGAGATTTTGTACAGAGAGAGTGCTCAGGCATTGGAATGTGCTGCCCAGGGAGGTGGTGGATTCACCATCCCTGGAGGTTTTCAAGCTGAGACTGGATGTGGCACTTAGTGCCATGGTCTGGTAACCACGGTAGGATTGGACCCGATGATCCTTGAGGTCTCTTCCAACCTGGTTGATTCCATGATTCTATATTAGACTTCTGCACTCACAGACGCAAATCCTAATGCCAAAACACTTCGCTGATTACAATGCAACCATTAAAACGCCATTGCAGAGCCGAATATTAATACCTCCCAGCGTTACCCTTCGCCTATTGCTTTTAAACCAAGCCAACACGAACGTCCCGGGAGGCAAAGCCGGAGCGGAGATGAGTTACCCGGGGATGCCCTGCAGCCCCCTCAGCATCGCCCCGCGAACCGCCCGCATCCCGCGGCCAGGGGCTGAGCTCCCGCGGCCTCACCTTCCCCTTCAGGTCCAGCACGTAGACGGCGCTGGCCGACATCGCCCCCCGC